CGGTAGAAGGAGTTTGCCTGCGCGCCATCCAAACCCTATACCTCGCGCCGTGTCTGTCACCCACAGGAGGGTTGGTCGGGGCTCCTGTAACCTGCAAGAAATCAACCTCGTCAGTATCACCAAAATTCGCCAACACCGCAATATAAGGCAGGAAACTGCTGATAACGAAACAATTCGTAGAAATGATCGAAATGAATGTTTTGATTTAGTTCAAAATAGTATGATAGTTCTCACTGCGACCAGGCCCTGTGTCTCGCCCATAGCACGAGTCTGTAAAATCCGTCTAAGTCCCAACGAAACCCGGCCCCCGTCATGAAACAGGCTTGATACGGCAAATAGGCTCGACACTTGTCGGATAGGCGATATCTTGGTTCACTCGGGTACGCGACCAGGGCCCGTCCTGGGTCTAGATCTGGTCTGGTCTGGTCTGGTCCGGTCGGTCTGATCTTGTCTGATCTGGTCCGGCCTGGTCGGGTCTGATCTGGTCTGTTGTGATGCTGTCTGATCTAGTCTGAAGTGGCCTGAACTGGTCTGATCCGGTACGGTCGGGTCCGATCCGGTCTTGCCTGGCCTGTTCGGGTCCAATGTGGTCTGGTTTGGTCTGTGTGTCTGTTCCGGGTCCGATCTGCCCTGGTCGGTCTTGTCCGGCCTGATCTGGTATGGCTTGCCAGTCCGGTCTGATAGGGTCTGATGCAGTCTACTCTCGTATGGTCTGTTGGTCTGATCCGGTCGGATGTAGTCTGATCTGGTTCTGGTGTGATCTTGTCTAGTCTGGACTGCCCCGATCTGATTCCGTCCAGTCTGATCTGACGTGGTCTGGCTCTGCCCGGTCTGATCTAATCCCTTTTGTGAACTGGCCCCGTCTTGTCTGATCAGGGCTGGCCCGGTCTAATCTGGTCTAATCTAATCTGGTTTAGTCTGTGACGGTTCTGGTCTGATTTGATCTGGCTCGGTCTGTCCCAGGTCTGCTCTGGTCGGGTCTGATCTTGTCTGATTCTGGTCCGGCCGGTCTGATCCGGCCAGGTCTGATCTGGGTATTGGTCCAAGTCCTAGTCTGTTGGCCCAACCTTGGTTCAAGGCCCGATCTTGAATCCCGCGCGGTCGGATTCCCCTCTCTGCGCTCTCGCTCATCCCACACCACTCAAATCACTTCGCGGAGTCGAGCTGCAGTCCAGCTCAACAGTCATGCAAGCTCGATTCCTTAGCTGTCGTTTCGCAGGAAGGTAGATAGGGAAAGTGGGAATTTCGTTAACACATTCATGCGCGTCACTAATTAGATGATGTGGTGTTCGCTTCGTTTCCTGCTGATTCTACCAAGCCCATTCCTCTGGCTGTGATCTCACGGGATGGTAGATAGGGACAGTGGGAATCTCGTTAATCCATTCATGCACGCCACTAATCACCCGTTCCCTCGGCGACGGTTTCACACGATGGTAGATAGGGACAGTGCGAATCCCGTGAATCCAGTCTTGCTCGTTGCTAATGAGATGACGAGGTATTTGGCTACCTTAAGAGAGTCATAGATACTCCCACCGTTTACCCGCGCTTGACATTCAGAGCACTGAGCAGAAGACACATCCCGTCAAACCCAACTCGACTCTTTCTTTCTCTCTCTCTCTCTCTCGTGTGCGTGCGCAGCAGCACGTGCTTTTGCGATAGTTCTTCCCGCGCGAACTCTGCTTCTTCGCGCGACTTCTCTCTTTCTCGCGCGCGCATTCACTTTCGGTTTTTCTCGTGCGTGGATATGCGCCCGACACCCGCGAAGCCTCGTTTGCCTCTTGCGTAGCCCCGCGATGCTCCGTCCGTCCGTGCTGCCCCGCCCTTCCGCACCAATCCTCTTTCTCTCTCTCTTTCTCTCTCTCTCTTACATGAGCGCGCGCGGCAACATCTTCCCCACCCGCAGCTCGACTCCCCGCGCACTCGTTTCTCCTTCCCGTGCCGGGGCTCTACTACTCCGCGCGGCTCTGTTTACCCCGCGCGGCTTCGTTTCCCCCGCATTGTCGTTCGCGCGGTGGTCATCCCCGCTTGCGCGGCTCCTCGCTCCTATCCCCTCTCTCTCATTCCTCTCTCTCTCTCTCTCTCATGTGCGCGACTATAGACGCGCTACCTCCATGACCCGCACGCTGCTTCCCGTCGTAGTGCTCTCTCTCTCTGCTATTCGCGCCTGTTCTCCTTCTCTCGCTAGCGGCCTCAAGTTCATATGGTGCGCGCGAATCTGGACTGGAGTGAGGGCCAGACTCATCCACGTCCAACTCGTGCAAATAGGAGTTCTCTCCCTCACTCAAGGCGATAGGTGCCCGTGCGTGGCAGAACCCCCCCTATCATGTCCCCTCGGTGCGCCCCTCAGTGCGCCCCTCCCGTTCGTCCAAGCAGGACGCTGTATAGGAACGTTTTCCAGTCCCCCTGATCGTGCATTCGCGTGAGCTTAGTGGCAAATGAATCTGGTCTTTTCAGAGGCCCGGTTTGTTCAAGTGCTGTTTCACCAGCCGTTCCGCTTCCATCTCCCTCTCCCAGTGTGCGCTTTTGAGCTCATCCTCGTGCGAGCTGATTGGCTCTTCCCCCCCCTCTCTCTCGTGGGCTCCTGTGCCGCAAGTCCGTCGTCCGCTACTGGCCCTCCCCTCCGTGAGCCAGCCTGTGCGCCCTTTCCGTGCGCCAGTCAGAATCCCCCCTCCTTCGGGCCTGGTTGGGCCTTTATACTCTGCTGGGCCCAACGCGGCGTGGCTTCAGTGCCTCGGTGTGTCGAGGCTCCGGGAATGTTGCAGCGCCCCGGTACCAAGCCTCCCCCGATCCTGTACCCGGGCCCGTTTGGGCCTCYGAAGGGTTTCCAACGAAGGGAGCCTTTTTGTCGGGTACCGGGCTTTTTGCAGCGCCTCGATACCGAAGCTCCTTCCAAACCTAAGCCCGGCCTAATAAGTGGACCCCACCCACCAGTGGTAACRACCTCGATAAATAACCCCGTAGGGCCCCCTTCGAGATCCTAGGCCGACGGGTCCATTCCTGGGCCTTAGCCGTGAGCCTCCTTTCGGTAGCGTCGAGGCCCGCCCAAAAAAMCGGCTCCCACCTTCCATCTATGCAGGGTGTTTTCGTAATTCGGTCGCTCGCGGTAACTTCGGAGGTTGCCACTGGTCGAGATGCCCGAAGCCTTGCGTTAAGTGCCNTTCCATCTATGCAGGGTGTTTTCGTAATTCGGTCGCTCGCGGTAACTTCGGAGGTTGCCACTGGTCGAGATGCCCGAAGCCTTGCGTTAAGTGCCGGGCGCCCCTTTTCCCCCAGCTTTATGTCGACCTTTAGAGCAACCCTGGTCCCTGGCGGTCGTGCCTTTCGTCCCGAACCCTCGAAAACCTCCTGCGCTGTAGTAGTTTTTTTATGTCCGTCAGCGGCTTACGTCCGCGCCCACTTCACAAAAGTATCGGCTTTTAATGCTCATGCCCCACCCAAACTAAGTGTCGTGGCCCGGCCACTCGCACCGTCGATCCGTTGGCGTATTTCCCATGACCCACCGAGTTTCTGTCAGGTAAAAACTATTAAATAGTGTCCTTGTCGCGCGCCCTTATAAAGGAAGTAAAGGGCGGCGTAAGGCTTGGGCCGCCCGACAGCAGCCCCCCCCCCCATTCTCGACATCCCCGGCGAGCCACCGAATTTGAGATCGTCAGATTAATATCGAGGGAGAAGAAATTAGTCGGCCTACACCTAATCCATACCCGATCAATCCTCAAAAACGCATCCCTCTCATGATATTCTTTCTTTCTTTTCGTTTTTCTACCTCTCTTCCCACCTTCGTTTCTTTTTGCTTTCTGCTTTTTATCCCTGGTTTGTTCTCTCGACCACTTCCGCACTCTCAGGCTCCAACAGACTATTTTGTCTCGCCACTTGTGGAAGTATGATCTACCCCCGCTTTTATGCTTACTAGTCGACTTTATCGGTCTAGTAAATGGTAGACCGCCCTCCTCTTTCAATGTCAGGTTTTTGAACCTTCTAGGTCCAGCATCCTCATCCTCGAGCGCCTTCGTCCTCCTCCCATCTTGTCTCCATCCACTCAATGAGAGTATCAAAGAAGAATAGGAAGGCTTCGCAGAAAAAGCCTCGCACGACAGGATTAGATGAGTCCATACCCCCACCAAGGAGTGTAGTCCCCCCTTTATACCACCACAGAGGCCGTACACAAAGCGGCAATTAGTTACGAAAATATCATAGACTGACTGTCTGAAGCTAGAGCCGCAGCAGCAGCACCAGCCACAGTATGTACGAGTATACGCAGAGACAAGGGTCAACAGCAAGAGGGAAAGCAAGTCTATTCCAATCTCGCTTCTCAACCACAATTCCCGAGCCTGGTACCCAATTCTCAGTCCCAATCAAGCCCTTGTCCTCGAATCTCCTCACATCCACAACGGGTTTCTCCGCTTCCAATCTCTCCTCAAGTCCTGACATTTTCATAATTCTCATCGACATGTTTTTCGGACTGTCGGTATTCGGAATAAATTTCACTTCCATCACGGTCCTCTCTTCCTCTTCTTGGTCAAACGCGAGTGGGTTATCACTCTCCTGACTCCCTAAACAGTCTTCAACGAATTCACCCTCAATACTCACCATGTCGCACTTACTTATTGACTTGCATTGATCCATTCCTGAGCCCTCGATATCTTTCGCAGCTGCCTGATTACGGCTCCTTGTTGTCTTGAGAAAGTTCTCAACATCGTTTTCATATGTATCGATGGTCTCAAACAGTTGGGTAAGCCCAAAGTCGATATCCGGTTCGGAGGCCTCAAAGAGTTGGGCTAAGTCATAATCGTCATCATGTTCGATGGTCCCAAACAGCTGCGCCAGCTCATAGCTAACATCTGGCTCGATGGTCTCAGAAAGTTGATCCAGCTCGTGGCTGATATCTGGCTATACAAACTTAAATGCTGGGGCAAGCTCATAGCTTATGTCCGAATCGCCTGCCCCCTTGCTAAGAGTATCGCCAATCTTTTTCAAACGTCCACATTCCTCAACCTTTGGTATCACTTCCAGCGTCGTGGTTTGATCTACCCATGTTTCCTGAATAACCTTCGGTCCTTCGCCCCTCGGCGAGACTTTATTATCAAGGCTAGTATTATCGGCTTCATTTTCATCTGATTCATCACTCACTTTCTTAGCGCACAGTAGCAGGGCTGCATCAGAATCCTCCTTGCAACTCTCGAACCGAATACTCGAAACCCCAACCGTCAAACTATCATTCGGGTCTGGGTCCTCCTCAAACCGAACACTTGATACCCATAACTCTCCCTGCTCTGGCTCTTCCGCTGTCCTCGTTTTAATGCCAATATCCGTCTCCGTTGAAGTTCGAGAGAGTATATCTTCCTCCTCACTCTCCTTTGTATATTGGTTCTCCTCAAACCTGACACTCGACACCCAAATTTCTCCCTGAATCGCCTCCTGCGTTGTTGTTGCATTAATGTCAGTATTCATCTTCGTAGAAGGTCCGCATGATATATCTTTCTTGTCATTTGCACATTCGGTCTTTCTCCACACATTCAACTCGATGATTTTCTGAGAGTCTTTTTCTCGTCTGCCCCGAGGCTCTTGTTGTAAGGGAATCTTCAACGATTCCTCGTTCCTTCGAGGTGAGGCATTCTTCATTTTCTTTATCCTCTCTCGTTCAGCCCTTAGGGCTTCTATCTCCTCGACCGTTTCCCATCCTTCCCTATGTGATCTCCTTCGTTCTTCCTTTTCTTCTATACCTCTCCAACGCCTATCTCGAAATCCCCTACCGTCGTTCTTCTTCCAGTTGCCACGGTTTCCTCATTTCCATTCCCCACTATCTCTATTTACTTTACTTTTGTCAGGCGGCATGGACTCTCTTTCATCCTCATCACCGAATTGTTTTTCTAAATGACTTCCGGGTACTCCTTTCCCTAGTTTCTCCAACACCCTACGTAGATGAGCTTTGGCATCCGGTCCCCCAGTCTGCAAAGCCAATGCCCTTGTCTGAGCGAACGTCACTCAGTAGGCATTTCTCCATAACAAACTCTCTTCTCTCGATAGGCAGAGTCCCCATGAATATGCCACATCGTTCTATCTCACCGAGAAACCCATTTTCTATCAATGGTTCAGATGCCGTCTCAAAGCGTCTTGCAAATGCCACTAACGTCTCTCCTTCCTCCTTCTTCATCTCCTTTAAGTCCTCGATCGAGTAGAAGATGTCGTCACATGCAAAGGCTCGAGACAATCGTTCTCTGAAAGTTGCCCACTTCCAATCCTCGGGTATAGCAGCACGCACGTCTTTGTCTAGTTTGAGATCGGTATGATTAATGAATCCCATTATCGTTTCCCGATCAGTCCATCCTGCTCTCAAGGCATAAACTTCCCAATCGTTAAGGAATTTTGTTACCTGATGTCCCGTGAAACATAGAGGCTGACCGAAGTACGGTGGTTGGTAAAACAAAGGACTGCACAACGGTCTGCATGCCATAGCATATGGACTGGGTTTGCATGGTGGCTCACATCGTCCTTTTCGCCAAGTCTCGCCCTCAGGGATTCCTATTTCGGTTGCCACCTTTACATGAGGAGGTCTACTTTCAAATTCACTATCCCACCTTTCTCCTCCATCAGAATTCCCCACCGCCATCTTTCTCTCAGGAATATTAAGCTCACTCCTCATCTCTGAAAGATAAACCTTCTCCATAACTTCCCGACGCTCCTTTTTCAACCCTCCATTAACCTTACTAATCAACAAAGAGATGGAAGGTCACTCTCTCGGACGCTGTGTAGCCCAGCCCGACTGATGAGCTCGTAGATCCCCACGACAAGCCTCCACTGGAACCCGCCTATATACCTGACGAAGTCAACAGGCCTAGAAGAGAACCGCCCTCTGGCGTATCTCCTCCTACCCTCATGTCGAAAGAGAGGCTGATCCCATGTCGCCATCATCGCTGGCCTACCGATCCCAAGAGCAATCCCTTGACGCGAGCCGGCCAACTCGTGCGTCATAGGGTCGGACTGAAGTCACACGCTCACGGAACGGCGGTATCTCCCTCGTGCAATCCTATCCGGCACCATGTCTCTACTTGGCCCACCTCAGACATGGATTTACCCGGGACACTTTCCCTCGACACGGTGTAGTGTCCTAGTCAGACCTCCCGCTAGCAATCGGATCAGCTAGCCTGTCTATTCCCCCCCCAACTCCTTGCGATTCGGGACGCTTCTCCCCTCCCCTTCAGTCCCTCCAGTTCTTCCCCTGCTTACAATTTTCTCTCTTGGAGTCAGATCGGGGTAGACTGACCAAAGGGTAGGGAARAATCAGAATTGSCTCGCTCAATCACAATCACAAGAAGGATGGGTAAAAGAAAACACAAGAGATCACAATAATGCCAAAATCAAGAATATCACGAACATTGCAAAAATCGACGTCTCACCGGGACATGTCGATCGCTGGTTGGCTGGTTGCTCGCCGTCTGCTCCGCTCTAGTCGTACTCCTTTCCTGATCCTCTCACGTCCCTGCGATTACAGGCGGACCGAAGTCCCAAGAGGCAGCCTTCCCCAGCAACGGCGCCATTGTCGACCGGTAGAAGGAGTCCGCCGGCGCGCCGTCCAAACCCTATACCTCCGGTCGTGTCTGTCACGGGAGGGTTGGTCGGGGCTCCTGTAACCTGCAAGAAATCAACCTCGTCAGTATCACCAAAATTCGCCAACACCGCAATATAAGGCAGGAAATTGCTGACGACGAAACAATTCGTAGAAATGATCGAAATGAATGTTTTGATTTAGTTCAAAATAGTATGATAGTTCTCACTGCGATCAGGCCCTGGGTCTCGCCCATAGCACGAGTCTATAAAATCCGTCTGAGTCCCAACGAAACCTGGCCCCCATCATGAAACAGGCTTGATACGACAAATAGGCTCGACACTTGTCGGAGAGGCGATATCTTGGTTCACCCGGGTACGCGACTAGGGCCCGTCCTGGGTCTAGATCTGGTCTGGTCTGGTCTGATCCGATCGGTCTGATCTTGTCTGATCTGGTCCGGCCTGGTCTGATCTGGTCTGCTGTGATGTTGTCTGGTCTAGTCTGAACTGACCTGAACTGGTCTGATCCAGTACGGTCGGGTCCGATCCGGTCTTGTCTGTGGCCTGTTCGGGTCCAATGTGGTCTGGTTTGGTCTATGTCTGTTCCGGGTCCAATCTGCCCTGGCCGATCTAGTCCGACCTGATCTGGTATGGCTTGCCAGTCCGGTCTGATAGGGTCTGATGCAGTCTGCTCTCGTGTGGTCTGTTGGTCTGATCCGGTCGGATGTAGTCTGATCTGGTTCTGGTGTGATCTTGTCTAGTCTGGACTGCCCCGGTCTGATTCCGTCCAGTCTGATCTGACGTGGTCTGGCTCTGCCCGGTCTGATCTGATCCCTTCTGTGAACTGGCCCGATCTTGTCTGATCAAGGCTGGCCCGGTCTGTCTCTAATCTGGTCTGATCTGATCTGTTTTAGTCTGTGACGGTTCTGGTCTGATCTGATCTGGCTCGGTCTGTTCCAGGTCTGGTCTGGTCCGGTCAGATCTGTCTGATTCTGGTCCGGCCGGTCTGATCCGGCCAGGTCTCGTCTGGGTATTGATCCAAGTCCTGGTCTGTTGGCCCAACCTTGGTTGAAGGCCCGATCTTGAATCCCGCACAGTCGGATTCCCCCGTCTGCGCTCTCGCTCGTCCCACACCACTCAAGTCACTTCGCGGAGTCGAGCTGCAGTCCAGCTCAACAGTCATGCAAGCTCGATTCCTTAGCTGTCGGCTTGAAGGAAGGTAGATAGGGAAAGTGGGAATTTCGTTAACACATTCATGCGCGTCACTAATTAGATGATGTGGTGTTCGCTTCGTTTCCTGCTGATTCT